ACACAACTACCATGTGAGTGAACCATGCTGCTGAACCAAGTGGGATTTTTTTAGTTCTCTAGAACAGCTTCATAACACATTTCTTTTCCTTCTTGCATTTAACTTAGGTTACCATTTCAATTATTTTTCTTCCTCTTTTCCCACCTTCTTGGCCAGCATACCGGTCCCCAGGCTGTGCTATGGGCTGTGCCCTTTCAATACATTAACATTTGTCAGCACCGCTGGACTAATTTGCTTCTAATGGTATCAGCTCTAACTTTGTTTAAAAACAAGGTAACAACAGTAACGGTAAGCAGTGATTATCCCTCTGTAATAAATTCCCCCCCCCCCCCTTTTTTCCAGCCAGGAAAAAGCAAGTGGTTACTGTATTTTTATTTAATTTGCGTTATATCATAAGCTCTCATCTTTCACACATCAAAGCCACACAACAATACACATTGTGTATTCTGAGGCCTTTTTAACAATCATTTTCAAGATTTGAGACAGACTGACATAATTTACAATGGCTCTATTTTAAGCCCGCAGAGGAAACTGAATTGAATGTATCCCATCCTGCACTGTTGGTTCCCATGAACTGCAATCACGTCCTCTGACTTCCACTCACACCGGGGCCTGCACTAACCTTCCTGCTCGTCCTAATCTCTGCCCTTGAGAAACTTGCCCACTTGTTGTCATGTCTCAACTGTTTACCTCTTCAGCAGGCTGCTCCATATCTCGGCAACAATGCTCCCATTGTTTGAGGGCCTGATCCTGCCCATGCTGCACCCACCCCTTTTCCCTATTCATGTCTCATTGACAATTCATGGGGTAAAGAACGCAGAATTAGGCCCAAAGACAGGAAATCTGCAATGCAGTAATTCAGGAAGAATGTCTGTTACTGTGTATCTGTCAGTGTTCCTGTTGGAAATCTTCATTCACAAGGGAGAGGAGAGGAGAGGAGAGGAGAGGAGAGGAGAGGAGAGGAGAGGAGAGGAGGTGCTGGCACAGATCTGGTCTTCCTAAAGTTCAGAATGTTCTCTTTTAAGGAACATCAATATATTATCAATTTATTATTCTCCATTAAAACTTATTATCCTCCATTAAGAGTCAAAGGAACCAAGAAATATTCTACTTCTGCAGCAATACAAAATTACATACTAAGAACTGAGGGAGATCCTTACAAACTGTTAAAGGGGGGTGCACTTAACTAACATATTTGACCTTAGCTTTGAAACTTAATTAAATTGATAATGGCAATAACATTAAAATATGGAAATCTTTATTATTATCATCTTGATCAAACAATTAATGGTTGGACTGAGGAATTCACTTCTTTGAGCCCACCAGTTATTTAAAACTATTTAAAGGGAGGTCTCTTCCATTTAACAGTCTATTAAAAAGTGGGCTTTCAAGGCTGACCAAGAAGTTTTGGAGCCAGGTCCAAACTCCTTTTCCTCTAGAGATGCCTTACCCTTGGGAACTATCTTGGGGAAGTCGGGTGGGACATGGCAGAAACTGCCGGTTCTGCAGATGAGGGGTGCAAGTCAATCATACTGCCCTGACTTCTACTAAGTATGAGGAGCCAGGACTGCCCAGGCAAGTCCCTGTTACAAGATCTACCTCTTTTTCACCACATGACTTTTATTTCCAAGCAAAGTTTTGCTTAAAATGTAGTAGATGGGGGATAGTTATCAACTTTAATTGCTTCCACATATCAAAGCAACAGAAGCTGGGTTTGATTTCTCCTGTTACACCTTATTACATCCTTTAAATCTTAGCACTGTACTTTTAAGCAACTAACTTGTAAGGGAAGCTTCCCTCCTCGCAGCTTTTATTGCTGCACAGACCCAGGTTTAACACAAACTCCCAGCCTGTGTCCCAAACTGAAAAAATTCATCTCATGCTAAAGTACACTCTGCACTGCAATCGTCTCTGGACCCCAAATAAGCTAGCAGTTAAGTTTGCATATTTTCTGCTTATTAAAAAAAAATTACTGTAAGTACTATTTTGAGTGTGTTCGACCTATTATGGCATGTGGTTTCTATTTGGAGAGGCTGGACATTCTGCAAAGGCAGTGAGTAATTACCTTAGTGTTGGTGAGTTTTCACTCAAGCTTGGGCGGTGCACTGTAATAAGAGACAGTTGCCATAAACAGACTGGTAGAGTAAATCATGGTGTGTGGCCTCTTGGTGGAAAACAGATATCTCCTTGAGGTGACCCTACCTCCCTCCCATTGCTCAGCAAAGCCCACTGAACATGTGGTCTCCAAACCCTTTTGTTCTGTAATTACATGGCTATTATTCAGAGATTGCTCAGTGGTTTTCATCTCTCATTCTGTGCATTTCAAGAATACTGGTTGCTGGTTTGATTTATCAGAATAGACAGTAACAAAAAACAAACAAGCAAACAAGTTAGGGATTATTTCATTTAAGATAGGCACTGTTTTTACACTTCTTTGTAGGGCGTGGACTGCAAGAGGACTAGCTGAAGGTTTCATCCATGGGCCAGAAGTTAATGCTGTCTAATAGTTATAAATGTAAAACGCAATTATTTAACCTGTAATCCTAGATTTAAGAATTTTTTAGTGATGTTTATTATTAGACTTGGTTAGTTATACATTTTCTTACTGAAGAAGCTCAAACAAAAGGATTATCTAACTCAATGGCAGATGTACAGACTTCCCACAAATGACTCTTTCAAGCCATGCATTGAGGTTTTATAAGACTCAAAGCTCATGTCAAAGCAGCATTACAGAGCTCCTAAGCAGGTGTTTTCACTGAGGAGCTAAATGCACCAGCTATAGGTGCCCACTCCATTGAGTGGGACCATGCAGTGTGCGGGAGAACTCCAGCTTTGCTGTCCTCTGCTGCTACAACTCACCTGGGTGAGGTGCCACCTCTGTCAGACTTAGAGTGCATTACGAGTACAGAAAATACAGTCAGCTGGAAAAAAGTATCAAGATGACATTTTGGTAAATTCTTGTTGAGAATAGCAAAAGTTGAAGTTTAGAAAACAAAGAGAGGAGGTTCATAAAGTGCTTTCTGAGCCATAACAGGTGCCTGAGAAGACCATGGTGGAGATTAGCACTTGCCAGAACAATATTCTTGAAATATTTTCTGCATCTGCTTCCCTGGTGAAAGGAAGAGAAAGCAACTTGCAACACTACTGTGCACCCAGATTCCTCCATCTCATAGCAGAATCTGGCCAAGTAGCAAACACAACGTCTGGGAGGACTCTGAGGACCTGATTTATAGCCCAGCGTAGTCAGGCCCACATGGGAGGCAAGTTTTATTGCTGGAGCAGCTGTTGGCAAAGCTCTTATAGCTAAACCCAATACTTAACTTCGGGGCATGCAAAAGAGTTTCGAGGAGCGAGGCAAGTTCCTCTGGCTGAAATACATTGGCTTTAAGGTTTTCTTTCCAATTCCCACCAAAGCCATGCTATCTGCTGTTGAGATTCAGTGGCCCCAAATTAATTTCTAAAGCAAAGCAGCTTTGCCAGTCCTGCTGGCTCTGCCTGAAGCCCAATGTATCTGGGTCCAGCACTGCCTGCAGCAGAGGGGCTGGTGCTGCTGCAAAGGAGCAAGAAGGAGAGCAGCCAGCTCAGCATGGTGCAAACACAGCTCCTTCTTGCCAAAACTCCCTCCCCACTTGCTCTTTGCATCTATGCATGGAAAAATATCCCAGGGACAAAAGGTACATTTATACAGCATGCAGGGTCTGCCTGGAAAGGAAAATCATATGAAAATAATGCTTTGCATCAGACTGTGAATTACTCAGTTCTCATTCAGTAACTCACAGCCCCCATGAAACCAGTGGGAAACGCCAAGGAAGCACAACACAACCTCCTGCTTGCAGGTTACACTGTTTTTTGACAAAAGAAATACACTTAACCGAAGACGCTTAGTGGAAGACTTACATATAAAGGGTTTGACACTGCTGTGGATGTGTTTATGCTGTTTGAGGCCTGAAGATGTGGCAAAGGTTTTGCCACACTCTGGACAAGCGTGAGCACGAGCCCCAACATGCTGGGAACGAATGTGCCTCTGGAGGTTGCTGGGGTCCGTGAAAACCTGCTAGGAAATGAGTACTGATTAACCAAGAAACTTAACTGCGGAAGAAGCCACTTAGCACAAAATCCAGAGCTACTGGGAGCTTTGTAGGACTAAAACCGGTGGCTACTTGTTGCACTGCAGCCTGGCCAAAGGGCATCAATGGGAGCTGTGCCTACAGGACGGGGCCTCATTTTTCCAGGGTCAGCCAAATATTTGGTGGAGTGGTTAACCCCTTTGCAACCACCACAGCAGATGTAAGTGCCCCTGCAATTGGAAGTCATGCTTTCGAGGCCAGTGATTTCCTGCTTAGCATCCTCACAGAAATTCAAAACATGGCTATCTGAAACCTCCAAACATAACTGCGATAGAAATGTTTGGCTGAATGCATGGCAGCAAGAAATCCCACTCGCAGCCCCAGCATCTAGGGCTTGGCTGCATCTTATGAGTATCATGTCAATGTAAAATCCCCACTATTGCAGCAAATCTACTTAAAAACAAAGCCCTTATGTAAAAGGCCCAGGCTTTAAGAATCTTGTGAAAACAAATGTAGAGCACCACATCTACCAATAATCTGGGTAGCAAGCCCAGTGCTGGGAGGTAATGCAGATGCTCTGGAGATGAACCTAGTATTCTTTTCTTATTTTGCTTTCTATTGCAGCAGCATCCTTCTAAATCAAGCGGGGTAGAAAGCTAACACATACAAAGTGAAGGTTTAAATCCTCAAGAAACAGGCACTGCAGGAGGCCTATGCCCTCACATATCCCACCCCCAGCTACCCCCATGTGCTCAGTGCCACAAAAACAGCCTACAAATTCACTGTACCTTGGCACAGTTCTCACACTCGTAGTGCTTGCCGCTGTCATGTGACATTTGGTGACGTATCAAGTTGGACTTCCAGTTGAAAGCTTTGGGGCACTGGTCACACTTGTACTCCCGCTCCTCGCTGTGGGACAGCATGTGCTTCTCCAGGCTGCAGAAACAGGAACGAGTGGCACATCAAGAGGAGGAGGCAGCAGAGCACACAACCTCCAAACAAAAAAAAGAGAAAAGAAAGCAAGCCCCAAAGGCCCAATCCTAACAGACCCAGGTCCTTTGAGCCCCAGGCACACCCCACTGGGAGGCAGAGCATCCCCTCCATCCCACAGTATCACTGTCTGATGTTTTGCCAGGCCACTTGCAAATGCTCCAGAAGATTATGCTTCCATCACTCCCAAAGGAGATTATTTCATACACCTCTCAATATTTCACTCCGGTAATTCCTCCCTGCAGTCTGAATCATTTCTGCCTTATTGCTTTCACTCTAAACACACCTAGGAACCTACTATCTGATGTAGCCTCACTCTTTTGATGGGAATCTATTTTTCTTGCAGCAGGAATAGATCAGAAATAACTCCACCAGTGGAACAGAAGGAGCATAAGTGAACAGAGCAAAGCTTCTGAACGGAGCACACTTAATGCAAAGTTATATTTGATGATTATTAAGTGTGTTCAATTCTAGTTGTTTTTTCATTCATTTCTTAGCAGTTGGTTCAGTCTATTAGTAGCATACTCAATCCTCACCTAATTTCTGTTATTCATCTTTGAATTCATTTTCACCTCTGAGTTTTCTGAATTCCTCTTTTAGAATTCATCTGCTGCAAATATATGTTTAAATACATTGGTCATATATCAAGCCACAGCTCATGCTATTGCTTGCAGAGAGATCTGTATATAACAGCAATGGGGATTCACAGAAAAGTCATTGGAAAAGGGTCTCTAGCCAGCACAGATCAGTGCTTCCTTGTCGATGTTCCCACTGATCTCTGCTGAATCTGTAGACAAAACCTGAGGGGTTTACAGTTTGTCCTCGGTTGTGTAGTCCAAATGGCAACTTACATTCTCAGCTACAAGTAACAGAAATTCTTTCATCCTGCTGATGCTCTTAAGTTCTACCCCTCTTAGGCTTTCTCCTTCAGGGAAAAATATTTCCTGCTTTGCCTCCTTGCACTCAGCTAACAGCTGTATCTCCATCATGCCCTGGTAAACAAACCTGACATAAGACCTAGAGAGGTCCCAGGCACCTGATGTGGCTGCACCACCCACAGACCTCAATCTTCACACTCAGCTCTTTCTCAATTTAATTATACACACCCTCAAGCGCGGCTCATTCGAGCCTTTTGTTTTATATAATCCCTATATAACATGCTTCTGTACTTTTTTTTTTTTTTTTTTTTGCTTTGAACTGTCTTTGTGGTGTATTAGCTTCTCAATAATTCAAGAGTTTGGAGAATGACTGCATTCTTTCTCATTTTTCACTCTCTCACAGTACTGCCCGTCTATTTATGATGACTCGTTCTTTGTTTTCTGCCCTTTCTCTTCAATATTTAATATTTTAAGCTAAATTTACATTTGCTCAATGATTCCCATATGTTTGATATCGTCCTCTTGTTCACAGGCAGAAAAGAACTTCAACACCAAATAACTCACAACGTGGAAAGATGTCACAGTCCCAACCTATGCTGCACCCACCACTGCTGCAGCTCTTCTGACTTCATCTACCGACATGAATCAATCACTCAGACTGAAAATTAGACACATGGAGCTGAATACAGCTCAACATCAGCCAGTGAAGACAACACTGTACCTGCACAAACATAGGACTGACCCACAAGAGCAGTGTTTGGTACGCTGTGCTTTCATTTTGTTGTCACTTACTCTGTGGAATTGTAACGAGCAGGTTGTGTGACACTGCATCCTCACAGCTGGGATCTCGTCCAGGATCTGCCTATTAATATAGCTCAGCATAACTGCTATATTTTGGCTGAGGTCAACCTTCCTGCATCCTCAAACTGAACTTACCAAATACGAATTTGTGAGCAACATAATACAGAAGCTCTTGAGCACTCCCAGTATCTTTCAGTAATTTGCAAAATTTCCTACATTCTGATACATTATAAGCAGCCACAAAAGAACTACAGTGATGGGAGTTGTCTTCAGCATATAAAGCTGGACTTTTTATTCACATTCCTACAGATATTTTAGGGATGTAGTCATATAGGTCTGCCTGTTTAAACAGACAGGAATATATAAGAAAACGACAAATCCCAGTGTTTCAAAACAGAAGAATTGTGTCTACATATGTGTAATGTCTGTATATATGTATGTTTACATATATTAATATCTTGAACACAGCCTAACCAACCTGCCTCTGCCTAGCATGCTTATTTGCAAAGATAAAATTGGTATCACGAAATGAACACCACTCAGAGGTGCTCTAATTTATTCCTACCTAAAAACATGGAGACCAGACCTCAATTCATCTGAACTATAATCACTCCTCTGATTTCACTGGCACCAGCCCTACTCGTGCCAACTAAACATGCCATTATCAGAAGATCCAGTTCTTAATTTAAGGTATCTATTAAGGATTAATTTCTGATCTATCAAGACTCCGTTGATTTCCACACTCTAAAACCAATGAGCAGAGAAACTAATTTACCTTTACCATTGGTTTGTACACAAGATATCCAATTCTGCTCTACCTGATGCCCTCTGACTTGACTGAAGCCATTAGAGAATTTGCCTTACTCAGTCACATTCTAAGCACTTAATCCTACCTTTGTAAGTCTGGGAAGACTTGATCACACTCTTTACACTCCTGGATTTCGTGCACATCCCGAAGGTCGTTCTCATTCTCAAGCTTTTTCTGAAAGTCCTCCTCCACCATGGAGAAGGCGGAGTGTGGAGTGCTGCAGGGGAACTTCTGGTGGTCCACCAGCTCAGCCTTGGACTCAAAGAGCTGGTCGCAGTCCTCGCAGCGATACTGGCGCTCCTCTGCAAGACAAAAGGGTTGGCATAGGGAGATAACATCAGTTTGGGGTCATTTTTAGTTACTCTCAGCAGTTCCACAATTGTGTAGTTAAATAAAGAGTTATTCTGTGAAAAATATTATTAATAATAGTAATAATAACAATAAATGATGCTTTATGATGCTGTATAATCATACTTCAATTCTGTAATATATAAATGCAATGCTACCTGTTAACTGCCTGGGTAATACATCCTATGGGAATCCCTAATGTTAGCTTGGGACAAAAGTCAGCACGTTTCAAATTACTTTAAAAGGGGATATCCACGTTCTGATGTGGATATCTACAAGAGGCTGACAGTCTCTGACTTCCTGAATGAAGTAAACTTACACAAACACCAACAACTGCAATAGCCAAAAAGGTTTACAGTTTTTAGGAGTCTTTCTACTTCCATTAGAGTTCTCTTCCAGCACCCAAGGTGAGCCAGATATCCAATAAAACAGTCACAAAGTTCTCACTGAAAATGACTGTAGAAGATCACTGGAGTGCCACTGAGGAGTGAATATTTCATTCCATTAATTACTATCCTTACCAAATAATCAATTACCTGAAGAAAATCCCAAAATGAAGAGGTGAAGAAAAGCAGCTCACAATACTCTGTAGGATTTTCTACTGATGGCCCACATGGGCAGCTACATGCCTTGTTCTGGGCACAGCTCAAGAACTGAAGATGCAGCACCTGTGTGCTGCTTGAATAATGAATGAGCACGAGGAGGAAGGTTGGCTGTGTTCTCAAAAGTAACAGCAACATTAACAACCTGAGATTTCTTTTTAAAAGAGTAGTTTTTTGACAAAATTACAAACTAAAATCAAAAAACCCTCAACCAACCAAAACCAGATATAATCAGGGTCCATACATTTTAGTCTTGAAAGACCAGCACAAAAGCCTGAGATAACGACATGGATTCCATTCCTTCTCTTGCAATACCCAAAATCAGATTAAGTTTCAACTCTGAAGCCTTACTGCTGCCCTCAGTTACATCTGCAGACCCCATTTCTGCCATGGAGGTTTGAATATATGAGAACTGAAAATCATCAAGAGGTGCAGGATTGCAATGCTGAGAAAAGTCATCTTTGAAAAGTAGAGTTTAGCAGACTGGCAGGTCTGCTAAGGGCAGCTGGTAGACAAATGCAATCATGGTCCAGCTGTCCTCTTCAGCTGCTGGCAGGCTATTCTGGAGCTCAAAGGTATTGCAAAAGAGAAGAAATCTTGCTACGTTTTTGCTTAATTGCAATGGTATTTCATATAAGATAAGAAGTGGCTAACCATGAATGTCCGGAGCCATTGTTTCATGTGAATAATCTTCACTCTTCATGAACAGTAATAGCTCCTCTCCTGGCTCAATGTCTGCTACTACTCTGTAGAATATCTGAAAAAGAGAAAGCGAGGTGAATACCATGAAAGGCAAAGAGGCAGTTAATGCTGCAGGGCTGACACCAGGTGCCCAACCCACCCCTGGCACAGGTGCTGCAAAGTGCTGGGGATGGGCAGCCTGGGCTGTGCAGGTGGGCTCTTTCAGCCCCAGAGCTGCTTCTGCCTTATCTGTGAAGATATAGGGGAAGTTGCTTTCGACAGCCTCTGCTGCAAAGCAAGCTGCATGATGACTGCAAACATCACCAGCAATTCACATGCTTAATTATACCAAACTTACCAGCCAAGGTGCCCATAAAACATGTCCCTGAACGACCAACAGAGAGAACATTTCTCCTCTTGGCTGCACTGAAGAAAGTAATTAAATCACACCTGAGGAAATTCTGCTGATCAACATGTGGGCATCCAACCCCACCTGCTTCTATTACTTAGGTAGCCCAGAGAGTAACGAGGGGAGGGGCTTGTACAATGCAGTATGCTTCTTTGCTCTTTAGTTTCAAATGGGAACCTAAAGGAACAACTCATCCAGGATGAAGATATGCACAGATGCTTGTCAGCAGCCTCAGCCACAGGTGGCAGCTAGTCCTCTCTCCATGGGCTCCATGCCTGTCACTGGGAAGGAGTCCAGCAGAGAGGCAGGGGCCGTGCACCTTTGGTACCACACATCCAGGGCAAGCTTGTGCCTTGCTGCCAGGCTCTGCCAGAAGGAAGCTCCTAAAAAATCCATCTGGCTGCTTTTTCTCTCAGGAGAAAACATGAAGAACACTAAAAATGTTCAAGAAGCCGTTCAAATAAATATCAGTAACTTCCTTAGGCCTTGTTAAACAAAAACACGTGAAAGCTACGTTTCCTACCCTAACAAAAGACATTTTTGCACTCTCTCTGTCTAGTGTATTTTTAAAGGTTTTACCCTGAATCTATTAACTCTCAAGACGCATCCTAGTGCTGTGAGAGAAAGGCAAAAAGTCAACAGCTGTTTTACCACAGGCCAGATGCAGGTATCCCTCTTGCACAGAGTATTATTCCCCTCACACAGCATATCTCCCTTGCACAGCCTATTGCACAGCATACTCCCCCTGCACGACATATTCCCTATGCATAGCACATCACCCAGCTCTATACAGCACAGAGCAGCTACCCAGGGCCTCCAGGAGGTGGCTGTACAGCCTAATGGTTATTGCTGCAGCCCCTGCCCGTAGATATGTGCTAACTGCCTAAAACTAACTAAAGAAGGCACATTTCCTCTGATATGTTTTCTTTTCTTTGCCTTGCCCCAAAAGCTGATCTGGAGGATGCCAACCTAGAGACTGCTAGTGTCAGTGTGTCCCACCACCCAATATCCCATGTCAGGCACAACCAACTTGCAGTGTAGCCTCCTGCTTACAGGGAATATCACTCCAAAAAGACAGGAGCAGGCATTCACATGCAACCTCCCCTCCTAAGGATGTTCCTCTTCTTCCACACTGTCCTACCCAGCTGTCAGAAGGGCCTGCTTGGGCTCTTTTTTCCCCTTGTCAGTCAGATAATTGTACACAAGCTGCATGGTTCATTCTCTAGTTCTGTTTCCCTTTAGAAAACAATGGGCTTCCCACAGCAACAAACAGCACCTTTTTTTTGTCAAGTTTAACTTTTCAGCTTCCTGTCTGAAAGCACATTAGATTCTGAAATGTGACACATCAGCCCTCGGTGCTGTGAGCCCCAGCACCCTGCAGCTCTCACTGACAGCAGCAGCACTGCTGGGGCACTGCAGACTTATCCCAGCTCAGCTTCCTAAAAATCAGGAGCATGGTTCCGAGGTCAGTAGTGCTGTGTTTGCAGACTCGGGGCATTCCCCTTGCATTAATCTTGTTTTTCACTAATTTACATGGACACAGAACCAAATCAGAGCATTCGGAACCCTGCCACCAACTCTTGAGCAAAAATAATGCCAACAGTGTCTAGTTAATTTTCTTTGAGGTCACACAAAAGAGGACACAGCTGATGCTCACACTCACGGTCCTTCAGCTCCTTGTTGATGTCAGTGCTGCAGAGAACAAGTGCTTCAAGCAACACTTTTTTTTCTGAGGTCAGCAATGCATCCACACAAAGTCATTAACAGAAACCAGAGTGACTTTTCCCAGTATTTTTCCTCCAGCGCTCCTGCTGTCCCATCCAGAACACTCTGACTGATCTCTTCACCTCTGGTTGCAAAGTAAGGACACATGGACCAACAAGGAGGATCTTCTCTCTCCAGCACTGTACTGCACTGCATCTCATCCAGCTGTAAAGTCCTGGTGTGATGCAGCATCTTTCCTGCAGCCATGGGACGAATCACTCAACAGGGTGCAAACTCTGGAGCCAGCTGTCCAGCCTGGCTTTGTTGGTACTCAAAAATACCGAAATATCAGAGATGATGAAGCAACTGATCAGAAACTGCCTGGCCAACCTCTGTGTGGAGAGAGACGGAGGGGCACCCAGAAAAACTCCTTTGATGAGGATGAATGATATGTTTTATTTGGCACCTCAAGGCCCACTAAAACAAGGTCTGAGTCTCAAATTTCCAGCTCTGGCATTCTGACATTCTTATTATTAAAAAAACAACTGTAACGATTACTAAAAATAGTAAAGCTCTGTGCATACAAAAAACCCACCTGCTCTAAGAGTTTATATATCCAATTGCTTTCCACAGAAATGAAACATACTGAACATTAGAAAAAAAAATGATCCTGCAGGTAAGCATAACCTGATTTCAACACACGTCCTTATTGTTTAAGGCTTTTTTTTTCACTCTTCCCACCTAAAACCTCATAGGCACTACCCTCTCTGAGAAGGCACCGGCCTGCCCTGTGAAATGCAAGGGAGAAATGTAACCAAAAGAAAAAAGAAAGGCCAAGTCCAGACGCGCTTTTCACATGCCCTGGGATCAGTGGTGTGTGACTGCAGTTCATATAAGAAGAGCAGCATCGGATCTTCCAGGTCTGGAAGCACTTTCTGAGTTCAGGGGTCTGAGGAGGCAGCTTTGTGTGTCCACCCTCTGTGTGTGCTACCGAGCAGGAGGAAAAGCTCCCAAACTGCTGCCCATGAGGGGGAAGGGGAGGGGAAGAACGGAGTACACACAATTTACTTTTAAATGGATGAATAAGGCCTCATTGTTATGAATCCCAGTTTACTTTTCCTGGTCAGGCACTTGAAATTTTATTTATGCTTAATAGACTGCATTTGGCATGTGTAAAGATGACAGAGGCGTGAATTATGAATGACCTTCCACCCCTGCAGGAAGTTGTAATAATTGAAATAATAGCGAAAATACGCTCCCCGAGAGCGGGGCCCGGGGCTGCGTGCTTTGAAGCGCCCCGAGGGGCACAGGCCGTGTCAGCAGGGCCCGGCCTTCCTCACAGCCACAGACACTGAGAGGGGAAAAAGTGGCATTTCTGTGAGCTGCCGTGCGTATGTGTCACTGGGAAGTGGGAGGATGAGCTGAGAACTGGCTCTGAAATCGACGGAGGAAAGCTGAGGAGAAAGGTCCAAATGGCGAAAAGTCAACTCCTGGTCTGTGGCGAAGAACTGCTGAGGCTGGGGGAATGTATGGGGAAAACGAAGCCCTGTTTCAGGATGTTCTCCTGAAATGGCACATGCAGTGCCCATGTCTGTCGGACTCCAGGCAGTCCCAGCACAGGACATCCTGCTCTGCATCCCCTCCCAGTGATGCTCATCCCTTCCTCCATGGCAGGTTTCTGGTGCGTGTTAGCACCAGAAACGAGACCAGGGTCTGGGTTAGGGACTGACACATCCACAGGGGCTCCTGCAGACACTGGCATGATCCCACTTGCCCCACTGACAGCCGCCTGCACTCGGGCCCACACAGCCCTGCATCCCAACATCCTATAGCCGCTCCTGAACGCCACTCAGTGAGCAGCTGTCCCACTGTCCCTGCCAGCATCTACAAACCTCTGAACCCTGCCATGCAAGTGGGACCTGACAGCTCTCATCACCAAATGGCGTTCCTGCATGCAGGCAGCGCGCTCTTCTGCTTTTATTAATCGTCAATGAAGAGCTTATTGCCTTGCAAAGAGGCGACAATTAGCTGCCGGTTTGGTGCTGAGCAGTTCCTTGCAGGTCACGTCAGGACAGGCTGAAGCTCAGGCAGGATGCTGGCAGCACTGGGCTGCAACAACTCAGGCAGGAGGCTCAGCACAGCATCACCTCTAATTGCCACAAATGGAAAACCGCAGCTGATGAGCTCCTGGTTCCACCAGCCCCATGCTAGCACGACCTCGCTCCACTGGAAACAGGTTTTCAGTGGGAGCTGGATTAAGCTTTATTTGCTTAATAAACTAATAACTCGTAGGAGGAATAATGACAGAATAGGGCCCCGCATGAGCTCAGTGCACACATGCCCTCCTGACCCATAACAGCCAAAACCTTAATTTCACTCTCTGACAACAAAGCCTCAAAACTATTCGTTAAATACACAACTTTTGCAGGTGGCTGTGTGTCTGGGGCTGCTGGACGAGTCTCCGTGTTTCTCTGCCTGGGAGCTGCACGCCGTGCAGGGGGGGCAGAGGCAGTAAAACCTGAAACATGAGGCTGTGCCTGCAGATTGCAAAAGTTTGTAAAACTTGTAAGATGTGATCGGATCTGGTGCAACCTACAGCAGTAGGTTCACTCACCTC